GTGATACTACATTAAAAAAGTGCATAGTTCAACATAAGCACTCCTTGCAGTAAAGTGTATCCATTACAACTATGCCAAAGCTACCACTCTGCATCACTTCATCCAGGAGCAAAGGCAGCCAGAATAGGCAAATTTCACATTCCTTGGAACAATATCCATCCATTATAAACTGACATGATAACTGATACATTTACGTGAATTGGATTTTCTCGGACAACCAGCCGAAACTGAAGCTTAAATTGCACACTATAAGAGTCATACGGCACCGAAACAGACCCTTCGGTCCAACGAGTCCATGCTGAACATCATCCCAAACTAAACTAGTCCCACCCCTGCCTGCTCCTGGCCCATATCCTTCCAAACCTTTCCTATTCAAGTACTTATCCAAATGTCTTTTAAACGTTGTACTTGTACCCACATCCACTACTTTCTCAGGAAGTTCATTCCATACGCAAACAATGCTCTGTGTAAAAAAATTTGCCCCTCGTCTTTTAAAATCTCTCTCCTCTCATCTTAAAAATGTGCCTCCCTAGTCTTGGAATCCCCCATCTTGGGGAAAAGGCAACAACCATTAACTGTATCTGTAGCCATTATTTTATAAATGTCTATAAGGTCGCTTCTCAACTTCCTACGCTCCAGCCTATCAACGTCTAAGACATTAAAAAGGTATGATGTTAAGATATTTGTTGATTTTTTTTTAAATTGTAAGTTTCAATGGTATAGCAAATAGTTTATTCATACAACACAGGCGAGTCCAAGGTTTCATCTGTCGGCAATACTGTATTGATTGCTTAGTAACGGTTGGAGTCTTGTGGCTGAGTTAATAGCACTCTTTAGTTCTGAGCCCGATGCACCAGCTTCTAGTCCTACCTCAAGCCTTACTGCTCCTATGATGCTGCTTGGCCTGCTGTGTTCATCCAGCTCTGCACCTTGTTGTCTCAGATTTTCCAGCATCTGCAGTTCCTACTACCTCAAGATATGTTGGCCACAGAAGCAGCATTTCTGTCCTGGTTCAAATAGGTTGATGATCAGCCTGCTAAGCCTTGCGATACTCTTCATCGAGCTAACCAGAGACAGATAAGAACAATTGATGGGTTTTATCCTGAAGGTCAACCTTCAAACATTGACTTTAAATAATCACTGAGCCAAATGAGCATCACTGCACAGCGCATATCTACACTGGCCACTGGCTATGCCACACCCAGTTCATCACAGTATCTTACTTACCTTTTCGAGCAAATGACCACATGAATTTGTCACTGGACAATTGGGAAGCACAACGGTCTAACTTAGGTCATTCATTCAAGCAAATTTCCATGCCAATGTGGAGCAAAATTAAAAATTTTGAGATATAAAGTTGGCAGCTGCAGACAGACTTTATGTTAATGCACTCTAAATAATGGCTGGATTTTGCTGGAGCATGGCATCTCTTCCGTGCTTGCCTCAAGCAGTCATTTTTTCCATCCTTTAGCTTGAAAGCTTCTTGCACCATTGCTGGCTGGGAAAGTGAACTGATTACCAGTGCCTCAAGGGCACAAGGTCGACTGGGACTGACACATTATCTCAAATAACTAAGGGGATTTACAGACTGGAGAAAGACAAATGAACAATGGTGAAGAAAACAAGGTGAATTCAATATAAAGTCATGTACAGAAAGAGAAATGAAGAGAAGGAAAAGGAGATTCGATGGTGGGGGGGTGGGGGAGGTGGAGTTGCAGGGAAGAAAAGCTACTGGCAGGAAAATGGACAGCAATGTAAATGCTTAAAATTTGACATTTTAAAAAAATCTTTGCAAATTGACTACATATAGGAACAAAAATGAACAGTTCAAATCATACCTTTTTTGGATCAGAGAGGTTGATGATCCATTTTGAACAAATTGCTAATATGTTAACAAGGTATGTGTGTGTTCAGTAGCAGACTGAACGATCGCATGTGCTCTATGGTCAAATGGTTTTTAAAAATATTAGCGAGATTGAGGCTGGGATGCCATTTATATAAAGGAAATGGGATAGAGTGTTCTGAAGATCCGCATCTCCTTTGAAGGGGACATGGTAGACAATCGTATTGTCATAGGAGTTATAATCCCGAGCACAGGGTGAATGTTCTAGCAGCACTGATTCAAACCCCCGACCTCCACACCCACAGGAGCTAGTGGAATTCAGCTAATTGATAAATCTGGTACCAAAGGCTAGCCTCAGTAATGGTGATCATGAAACCACCATCAATCCTCCTTAAAAAGCCATCTGGTTTATCAACGTCCTTTAGGGAAGGAAGCATATCTGTGGATTGTACCTGGTCTGGCCTACATGTGACTCCATCTCCACAGTAATGTGATTGAGTCTTTACTGCTCCCTGAAATGGGTTAACAAGTCACTCAGTTAGATCACATCACTTCCTGCAGTGTATATGTTGTTAACATGCCTCTATATTTCCAGTGAGATCAGATCCATCATGTGCTTTCAAATGTTTGCTTTCAAAAGCATCAATTCCAGTAGGAAAGATGTAAAAGAAAAAAAAAATATTCTTGCAATAGCAACGCTGAAAAGGAACGCACTTTTCAATGCAGAACAAAATCCTACGAATTACAGCCAACAGCTGGCATAACTTTAGTGCAAAACTGTCTTTTTGGCTGTCATTAGTGACTTACTGCATTTTTGAGTTAATGTTGGAGCTGAAAAAGTCTCACCTCAAATTCCATGAACTAGCAGACACCAATAGCAATTACTGGATTTAAATCCATAGAAATGCATTCCTTTTGTGTCTCCGCTAAGGGAATTATGCGCAGACGGCATAAAGAGAAGTAAACATACTTTGGTGGTGGTGGTGATGGGGTGGTGACTGGAGAAGATAGATTTGCAATGTAACACTTCATTTCTGAATACTGGTTGATATCAAAGCAGCCAGATCTGTAATAATCATCCTCAAATTTCTGCATTTATTAGCAAATGATCTTACTTTCTGTATATATTAACTCAAATTCTTTGTACAAGTAATATTTTCCTTTGGGTAAATTAGAGTAGACAGTTTCTAGGAATCTCAATCTCTACAGCATATCTGGGTATGCATTACTAAGTACAGCACTGTGGAGTTTGAAAACTTCTGTGCAAAATACAATGGACCCATTGATACTACAGTGCCAGTATCCAGGAGTACAGCAAACCCAACTCTTGAATAAATTCACTACTTAACATATTATAAACACATGATGTGCAAATACATTATCTTTATTTGTAAGTTTAAAGAATGAGTTATCAGTACAAATAGATATTTGATGTATAAAAATGTTGTAGTCAATTCATCCTTACTTTCTTTCCATAAGAAAAAAAAGCAACTTGATAATAGATTCTACTTCTCTTACCCTCAAAACATTAAAAAGTAATCTAGATCAAAAATTCAGGTTATGTTTCAAATATGCCAAGTAGAACATTCCATGCAGCAAGGAATTTAGATGGCAACAAGCAAATGTTGGTGTGAACTGAACCTTTTCTTTTGCACAAAAAACCCCTAATAGCTAGGTGACCAGTTTGATTGTCAATGTCAAATGTATTTCAGCAAGTAAATGAACACCAAACTGGATCAGAACCCAGTCAAGCTTAGCATTAAATAGATTATTCTCCAGGATCATCTTCAGCGGCAATCCAGCATCACTATGTTTAACCGTTTTTACATTTTAAAAGTAGTAATATTGTGGTATGGTGTAGCATAGAATAAAGGAATATCAAAGTTGCTTGACGTTGGATCGTTTTACTTATGTACAGCAACTGAAACTTCATAAACTTTGCACCAATTTGTTCCACGTTTTATTACCTAGGTTCAAAAAGTGGGAACACTATCCTAAGCGTTGCTTATTTTGAATGCAGTTTTGACTAAACATGCGTGTGATCAAACTCTGAAAGCTTGAAACGAAGCAAAATAATGATAAAAGGTCAGGCTTCTGGCGAGAAGATTTACAAGGGCCGTGGAGAAAATTTAACATAGCTTGCGAAAACATTTTTCTTCTCCAGAAATAAAACTGGCAATTTGGACAGGTTAATCATATTTAACACATTGTTACACGGGTGCATCACAAGCTGTGAAAGCATGTGTGTCTTCTACATGTGGTTCAAAAGTAGCCAATACATTCCATTTCCTTGTGTGCTCATCTATATCTTCAGTAAGGTGATAAAAATTCAGGGATGTCGAAGTATTTTTGTTTATTGGTGGGCTGCACAGAACAATACCATGGAAACGTGGGAGAAGGGAAGGCACAAATATTAAATTTAAAAGCAAGATTACCATTAGAATTGTTTATTTAATATATTTATATATCTTTAGGTTGTGTTTTGCTAAAATAAAAAGACACCTTGTTTAGCTTTTCTTCCTGTACTCACCAGGACAGATGCAAGAATGTCAAAATTTCAAAGGGAGTAATGTTTTGAGACAATTTTGGGTTTGTTCTGATGAAAGTTGCCTCTGTCCACTTGAATGCAAGGTGAAAAGTTTCACAAGCACATTTGTTTTCAGCAATATTTCAACTTTGTACTACCAAAACGACTATTCACAATTTAAGTACTGATTAGAACGTACATTGGTGTGCAAATTTAGAACTTAAGTCAACAGTATTAAGCGCGGATCTGTGCAAAGCTCCAGTCCTGCCAAATTCAACAAAGATCATCTCATGAGAAAGTCTGAGTTGTCCTGACTTTGGATTTGCAGGGCTTTGGGAGGGTAAAGGGCACAAGTGGTCATAGGCCATAGCTTGAGCATCCCAGATACTAAAGAACAAGGGTGAGAAACTCCTTAAACCACAGCTAAATAAAGATTGAAAATGGGCAATGCAATCTTGTTGCTGCTTTTTCTTGTCTGATTTTTTTTAAAAAAGCTATGGCAGTCGAAACAGCACATTCGTTGCGTATATTGATATTGTGATTGTCTTCTTTTCAAAAAGGAACTCAAATATCAAAACAATGGCACCACCACATATAAAGCAAAGTGATTTAAAAAAAGTCTGAAAATACTTATTTATAAAATAAATCCTTTATTATGCAGTGTAATGAGTGAACTTGCTTAATTTTGTGCAACAGTGAGTTACAATGTGGTCTTATTTCATATACATAAAATGTGTACATTAGTAGAAAATCATGGAATGCAACATTGTGCTTAACTACGGATATCACAACAAAAGTAAATGGTGCATTTCGATTCTTTCTTTTTGGAACGTTTTGAGAAAAATACCTATTTCTATAATAAAATATGTTTTGAAGTTGCCTGAAGAAAAAAATATTTCTTCTGTAAACTGCACTTGCCAGCTCAAGCAGACATTCCGCAATTTCTTTAGTTTAAAGCCAAATAGAGGTGAGCAGACACTGGTTTGCATACAAAAGATGCAGAGTTAGAGGTCACTTTCACCATAGAGTGCTGTGGAGAAGGACATGTAGTCCAGGGAGCCTGGAACTGCATCCGGCCCGGTGTAGGGTGCCATTCTAGCAATGCAGTATTCCGCTTGGTCTGGAGGTAACTCACGACGCAGTTCTTCAGCTGTGATGTAATTCTGCAAGGTCGAAGAATACAAGTGTCATTAAAGAAAGCAGTTGCTTCCAGTCAAAACGTAAGCTGGAGTTTCCACATTCTCAGACAATACTGTTTTAACACCCCTGCATTTTGAAATTTAGCACAAATTCTCGTTCACTTTCCAGTTCGCAGCAGGATTCACTACTAATTACAGTTCCTAGCTTTTTTTAATTGAAAAAAACTGTAATCAAGAGTAAATATTTTAGCCTGTAAAAACGATACCAATAGTACAGACAGGCGAAAATATTCTTCTGAACACCGAGGGGAAAACGTTTTTTTTTAAAAGGAAGTACAAAATTAAAGAGGGTATGGGAGTTAAATTGCAAATCAGTGGCACATTAAGGAAAACTATATTAGTCAATGTTTGTACAAAATTGGCTCATTTACAACTGCATTGAGATCAACGGAGCTGAATAGCAAATGGAGAGTATACTAGAATCTTGATACAAAATTACTTGTTTTGTATCCTTGCCCTAAATATTTTTATTTGTTGGAATGGAATAAATCGACTACAGGAGTACAAAATTTACGAGGCCATTCAGCTTCGAGATTTCTCTGTCTTTCTCTAAGATTGTGGTTGATCTGCTTGTGACTTCAACTCCAATCCACTCTGTTCCCCCAATAACCTTGATCCTCTGTTGATCAAAGAATCTAACTAAATACTTGAGTGCAAACCTTTGTCATTCCCCTGCCCCCAACAAACCTGATAAACTCAGTCTCATTAAGCAGGTGACAGGCTAACGTGAATAGAAGTTAAATTGTTTTTTTTTACCATGTTTGCATTCAATTCAATAACTCACCTTATCACCAGCTAGAACTTTAAACGACGCCATGACTTGGTCAGCAGTGTCCGTGTCTGTGGTTTCTCGAGACATGAAGTCCAGGAAGGCCTGGAACGTGATGACACCCATGTTGTTGGGGTCAACGATGTTCATGATGCGTCCGAATTCCGTTTCACTCTGAAATCATCAACCACAGTAATTACACCAATGTCTCATCAGAGTCAAAAAGAAAGCCATGAGCTTTCCCACACTAATGCCCATTGTTCAGTCTAAAGGAAGCTCACTTCCATAACTATCATTTTACAGCACTGAAACTTTGTCCTCAAATCAGGGATTAATGGTTCATGAGCTGGTATAGTCAAGGTTATGCAAACACAAATCAGAATTCAATGTACCAAATCTCCTGTTGGAAGTGTTAGCTCATCTGTCATTCAGGGGTGTGGTTCAAGTCTTGAGTGGATCATATTGGTTGACATCTAGGAGCAGTGATGAGGGAGTACTACATTCCTGCCCCCGTCAACTTTGATAGATGTAAAACCAAGGACTTGTCCGATGTGTAGATGGACATAAAAGATCCAGTGACATGTATTTTCCCCTCCTAAAGTTAGCCAGGGAATTTTCCTGTTTCTTTAGCCTCAAGTACACAAGCAGAATAGATTGAATGGCCATTTGAACTCCTGTCTCCCAATTTTGCCTGCACTTCACAAATTGAGAATTAATTGCCTGTAATTTTTTTTTGGAACATGTTGAGGGTATGATGCATACGAATAGGATTCAAGCTTACATATTTCTACCCACTGCGCACAACAGAACCTAGATCTTCATTCATACAGAAAACCTTCCCCATTTACGTGTACAAGTCGGGATTTTTAAGGGAAATACAATAGAAAAAAAGAAGCTAGGTGGAGAGGATGAGGATTTTGGGGCAGAAATCCAGAGCACAAGGTGGAGTTAGCTAAGAGCACAGCTGGCACAGGTCCCTCAAAGGGAAGGATTTATTAAAGGACGAAGGAAGGATCATAGAATAGAATCCCTGCAGGTGTGGAATCAGGCCATTCGGCCCATCAAGTCTACAACGACCTTCTGGAGAGTGACCCATCCTCCTACCCCATCCCTGTAATCCTGCATTTCCCTTGGCTAATCCATCTGGCCTGCACATCTCTGGACACTATGGGTAATTTAGCACGGCCAATCCACCTAACCTGTACATCTTTGGACTGTGGGAGGAAACTGGCAGAAACCCATGCAGACACAGGTAGAACGTGCAAACTCCACACAGACAGCTTCCTGAGGATGGAACTGAACCCAGATCGCTGGTGCTGTGAGGCAGCAGTGTTAACCACTGAGCCACCGTGCTGCCCAATTTATAAGAGGCTAAAATTCAAAGTATTCAGTAAGGAGCAGCATACAAGTGGAAGGTCATCCAACTTAACTACGATGTCACCAACAGACCACTTTCGTGAGGAAATTCCAACAATTTTCTCTTTAATTTCACACTCCTGGCCCCCCCTCTGGAACACAGGCAATTATTGCGATATATGCCACAGCACCACATGTCAGCATGGTATGTCACCCCTGGGGAGGGGTAACTATAGCCAAGTCAGACTGTGTGCTGACCTGGACAGGAGCCCAAATGGATTCACTTCCTGAACACAGAGGCACAGAGGTTGGATTGTATAGCCCCAGTGGGTCATTCAGTTGCTATCAGCAGAGGAAGGAGATCAAAGCGCAAACTGTAACAGATTAACTCTGAGCAGCCTCGATATTTTTGCACGTTCTGATCAGGTGGGCCTCAAATCGAAATCATGGCGGCTGCAGAAAGCTGGTTGCCTGCATTTCTACCATTATCGGTGTCTGTTAGGTACCCATTTGCCTAAATTTGGCTAGTTACATCGCAGCATGATTTTGGAAGGCAAGACAGAACGTGGCAAATTACTGACATACCTTACCTGTTGGGCGAAAGCACAAGGTTATCAACCAGAAGGCTTTCAGGTGGTTCTGAGAGATCTCCTGACAATTTATTATCATTGGACAGGGTGTGAAATGCCATCTCCAAAACGTGTGTCAAATAAAAATAAAAATGGGAGGGGAAACTCTGCGGATTTCTTGAGAATAAGCTTTTTTTTTTAGAAAGCATAAAATCCCATTCTGTGATATGAAAGGTCAATTTACCATCAAGCTACACCATACCCCTCTCTCTGACCATGTTATTTTATCAGTCAATTTACACAATAAGCCAATGTTATATACAGTCATGAACTCCCCTCCCCAATTAATCGGTGTTCTGTAATCAAAATATTGGCAACCAATTGTCCACTCCCATTTCCAGAACTTCTCTTTCCCAGGTTAAAACAGGAGCGCTGAGGTTGAGCTTTCACTGAGCTCTGTGTATACATTATCCTTTCCTACCCATTAATAAATTTCACTGTAACAGGATGCTCTTTATATCATTAGTCTATTGTGAAAGCATTTCTCTCAGTACAAATATGGTGATGAGTAGTCCTGTCCCCTATTCTGCTCTTCCCTACATCATCAACAAACATTGCCAGCCGTAATATTACAAGCAAGTTATTGGAGGACCATAAATGCTGAATGGGAGTTTAGCTTCAGAGACCCATCAAATTTCCCTATCATTTAAACAGCGTGGCATTCCGTTTGACAGCTGGTCATAAACGTACCTAGAATTTGATTTGCAAGATTCTTGGGAATATCAGGAGCACTGCAAATCATATGAACAGGACTTTTACACCCATCCCGCATGCCTGTTGGATAAGGCACTGTGACCGGAGTCTCCGTCGCAAAACTATCCCCAATTCGTGCAAATCATTTTGATATCATTGAATTTGTAAGACAGAGATGTAGTGAGAATTCATGGCTGATGATTTACTAAATTCACAGCTAAAGAGAATCCCAACAGAATGGGAGAATGTATGGGGCACTCAGTTGGTATACTGCCCTTTCAACTCTGGAATCAAAATTTAAAATCATATCCAGCCTCATGAATCTAAAAATTTCTGATGACCTAAACACTGGTTTTACATATGTTCCCAGTTTAATATTCTTAATAGCACAGTAAGCAGTTCTTCAGCCCTTTGTACCTGTACTGATTAAGATCTATCCAATTAGTCCGAACCCCCATGTCTGTCCTTAACCCTTGTTATTTATTACTTTCAAATGTTTATCTAATTGCCTTTTGAAAGATACAATCAACTCTGCTCCAAGGGCACTTCAGGCTTTATAGAACAGATCACAAAAACTCAGAATTTATTTTAATGCAAACTTCCTGCCAATTACCTTAAATTGCGGAACAGTTAGGTCACCACCGCTTTGAAATTTAAGAGGAATCGTGTTAACATGTATTCATGATCCTCTTCTATTTGAAAATCTGATGTCTTTTTATATGGTTACATTTATTTCACTCTCTTTTTTTCAAATCTCCAGTTAGTGAGGTGCTGAACATTTTTTCAAACTTAAAAACATACAAACTGCACTGAACATTTAAAATTGACTGACTGTACAATTTTGTGCCGATTGCTTCATCCAAAAGCTGCAGTGTCCCCCAGTTGCTCTCTGTTTACACAACTGAATAAAGAACAAGATGGATCATTTAACCATTTAGGCCAACTCCATCATTCAGTTAGATTAAGGCCAATGTCCACCTGAGTACCACTTGAGCGCCTTTGGTCCATATTTCACAATAGTCTTATTCAATGTGATTCTGTTATAATCTTGACAGTTCCCATTTTCTAATAATCCATAATTCTTTGGGTGAAGAGAGTTCTAAGTGTGTATTATAGGTCCTCAGGTAGTGTTGTCGAACAAATTTAGGTAAATAATTCTTTGAAGTTGCACCACATACAGACAGGGTAGTTAAGAAGGCGTTTAGCATGCTTGCCTTCATTGCTCAGACCTTTGAGTATAGGAGTTGGGATGTTATGTTGAGGTCGCACAGGGTGTTGGTGAGGCCTCTTCTGGAGTATTGTGTCCAGTTCTGGTCGCTCTGTTATGGGAAGGATATTATTAACTGGAGAGGTTTCAGAAGAGATTTACCAGGAGAAAAGGAGGTTTCGAGTTATAAGGAGAGGCTGGATAGGCTGGGACTTTTTTCACTGTAGTGTAGGAGGTTGAGGGGTGACCTTAGAGAGGTTTATAACATCATGAGAGGTACAGATAATGTGAATGGCAGGTGCCTTTTCCCTAGGATGGGTAATTTTAGGACTAGGGGACATATTTTTAAGGTGCGAGGAGAAAGATTTAAAAAAGACATGGGGGCATTTTTTTTTAAAGAAAACACAGAGTGGTTTGAGTGTGGAATAAATCGCCAGAGGAAGTGCTGGATGTGGATACAGTTACAATGTTTAAAAGACATTTGGATAAGTACATGAATATGAAATGCTTGGAGGGGCATGGGCCAAGTGCAGGCAGGTTGGGCTAGTTTAGTTTGGGATGATGGTCTGGTTGGACCGAAGGGTCTGTTTCCGTGCTGTATGATTCTATGACGCTAATTTTATTTTTTGCAAATTACATATGGAGCGAGCCAAAAATAGTAATTAAAAAGCCCATTTTTCATCTTCTGTGTGTAATCTTTAAAAATTTCGGAGTAGAGTGGTGCATGTCCTCATATCATATACTTCAATTCCACTCTAGAACTTTACACATCGCAGAAATTCATAAGCGACCCATAGAATTGGTCTGAGCACCTCAACCAGCCATTACTTCTGCAATGGAAAGTTCAAAGATTTTTTTTTTTTTGAAAACAGTGGCTTCGCAAAAATTCTGTGAGGCACTGCAGCTTTAATTCAAATGGTCTTAAATACGAATGAAATAGAAGAACTCAGTATTTGGATAAAGCAAGTCACTAAACTGTACATGTGTTGTTCTGCAACAAAGACCACTTAACATGGATCTCTTACATTCATCACCCAGCTTCAGAACCAGGCTTTAATACATTGAAAATAGTAGAAGGAACGGGAAGTCACCATACCAGATTGTAACCCATGGAGATAAGGCAAGCTTTGAAATCATCACTGTCCATCATTCCAGTCCTCTTCTACAGAGAGAGGAGGAAGGAGACACCAACAGGACAAGAAAAAAAGAGCAGAAGGAATCACGACAAAAAAGGAAAAATGAGACAGAAGAACGCAAGAGAAGCAAATGAGAAAACGTTTCAACGATGGATCGGAGGTGGAAGAATAAACACAGGAGAGATTTAAACAGGTAAAAGCAGATGAAGCAGTTCAAATATCATGAGCAGGATTGATGAAGAAAAGCATTTGTCGAAGAGGAAGACAAATGACGACAAGAGAGCCACCACAGAGACAATAGGTCAAGACAGATAAAAAGAAAGAGAAAAAAAAAAACACGTTTAGTTAATTCAATGCACCAGATTGGAGTACTTCACATTATACACTAGCAGTTAATACCTGTGCGTCATTTCCAATATCGTACCCCAAGCTGATGAGGCAGGCTTTGAACTCCTCTGCTCCGAGGGTGCCAGAATGGTCCTGGGTTAGGCAATGCCACGAGGTACGCCATGCATGGTGATGGAGACAGCAGTTGTCGGGTGAGGGAAAGGATGGGGGAGAAAAAAAAGAGTGAAGAGGTGGATGGCATACATGCAAAGGGAAAATGGGGGAAGGGAGGAGGTCATGCAAGTGGAAAGAGGAAAACAAAGTGCACAAAATTAGACATCAAAACTGTTCAAACTTCGTGGTACCAAACGATAAGGCTTCATTTCCAGATTACTAGAAAGCTCATCTCTGCTGGCTTGACAGGGACCAAAACTAACGATTCATCCCCAACTATTCATAAGAGGTCAAATGGTAACAAATTTGCCGAGAGGAGTTAAAAGTGTGCAGCAATCATTAACTATTGAAATCCTGAGAAAATTCAAAGGCAAAGTATTCAC